AGTATGAAAAATATTTGAGCCTGTCTTTGATAAAGGTAAGGAGCCATGGAGGCATTGTTGGTATCCATTGGACAGTTAAACTCAAGGTTGGCAGTTCAACCCTACTAGGTGATCCACAGAAGAAAGGCAAGGTTGTCTGCTCCTGTTAAGGTTTATAGTCTCATCTCAGAAACCTGGTATATACAGGGTTGTTATAGTCATAATGGACTCAGTAGCAGTGGGTATGGGCATATAATATATGGGTATATAATGGGTGTGGGGTATAAATACTTATATATAAGCAAACATATTGTTTTAAATTAATATCAATCTATAATGGCTTCTTTACAGTCCCCTTTTAAATTAAGAATATAAGTATATTACTTTACAATATCATTTTAATGATCTGTTCCCCATAAGTTTGCAGACAAATTATATCCTTAAATTTAACCAATTCCCTATAGCTGTATATTTAGGTTCTTCTACTTGGGTCTCTGTGTGTGTGTGCCATGTAAAATAATAGCAGAGCTGTCAACTTCCAAATAGCTTCTACTCCCCACAATTCCATAACTGTTTCCAAAGGATAGTGTTCTGGACATGGAGTTCTTGGAAGAAAATATATGCAAAATTATGACTCAGGTATGTTTGGACAAGTTGCTCTTCAGACAATTTGAACAATGTATCTATGTCCAGGAGAAACTTAGATGAGACACTGGTATGTTCACCCAATCTAGGTACAAGCATTAAAAATGTTAGTACTTTGCCAGTTTGATTAATGAAAAGCACCCACTACCCTTCATTCCTAAGTGTTTCCTAATGAGCAGAAGATTCAGCTAATCTCCTCTGGCCCGGTTTGGTTCGTTTAAAGGTCTAACTTAACCCTGGAAGTCCCAATAAGTAGAGTCAGAGAAGCACTGCACAGAGATAACGATTCTGAATGCCAGCAGATTAGACACCATCTTCTTCTGGGAGCCAGTGTTTCTCAACAGGGTTCTACCCATCGAGGGAGCATTTGGAAAAAGGGAGATGTTTTTGGTTGCCACAGTGTTTGGGGGGTACCAATGGCATACAGACTAGAGATGCAGGCTGCCCTACTATGGACTGAGCAGTCTTGCGCAATGAAGAACGGATCCTCCTTTTGCTTGGCTTTTGCTTGAAAATGTATGGGGTACAAGGCCTAGTTGTAATTATCCAACCCTGGTACATAAGTCTGTTGTACATACTATTCTGTGACCAGTTTAGTGAACACAAAGGTTTTCACTGACAAATACAAGGAGGAAAGAATGCTTTCTTCAGAACTTTACTAACCATTGTACACCATTGTTTAAAAATAGGTCACCAGTACCACCTTGTTCCTGTTATTTGCATCGGCAGCATTCCCTATATATTAAGGATTTCATTCAGTGTGATTACAAATGTGATGTCTAATATTGCCATGCCTTCTAATATGATCATGTCCCAGCCTTCATAAACTAAAATCTCTCTCTAAACATATATACCTTTATTGCTAATGTATTTCATAGCACACATCTGATAATGCCTTCCACAAAATTATGGGTGTAGGTAAGTCATTATTTCTATGGGCTTCACTTTAGTGAATAGCATTGATGCATATATGCTCTCTCCAGATCCATTACCACATAATCCCTTTTCCCACCTGCTGCCAAAAAGAAGAGTTATTACACTGCTGATTCAGAAATCTGACAGCTCAGCCTGACACCAGTCTGAATTGGAAGGACAAAGTCCTATTTGGTTTATTTATTTGTTCATGATTCTCCATCCAAGATAAACCCCAAATATATTTCAAGTGTGCTGTAAGTGCACTTCAGGTTATAAATCAAATACTTGCATTCTCATACTTCGGTAGGCATAAAACTACATCGATCAACTATAGATATCACATATGCTTCCCTCCCCCTTGCTAATCCATACACACATACCCACAAACAGAAAGAGGATGTAAAAAGGACATTAAGAATCAACAATAATTTGCTAGCATGATATCCATCTACTAATCAGAAGCAGCCACAACAGTGAAACTAGTGTGATATTAGACAAAGGAAGTAGCAACCCTTTCTAAATGTCAGAAAAAGCATTTCCATAAGGGAGGTATGACTGTTGGTAAAAGACTGGGAATGGATGAAAATGTCCCAATTTGTTTCCCATGCCCAGGTAAGGCATCGAAAAGGATATTATATTCAGAATGATCTTATTTTGGCTTCCTGTGTCCCAGTTAAGTCCCTCATTTCCTGGGAGTAGATAAACACATCTTTAGTGAAGAAAGACTGGGTCAAACACATCCGTGAGCATCAGAGGACGATCCAGGTGACACTGATTCATGTGTGTGCAGCACCACCAAGCCAGCGAATCGCAAATATCCCAGTTCGGTAGCTTTGCTTAACTATAGAAAAGTTATTGCTAGCTCTGTGAGAAAGCTGATAACTCTTCCATTCCCAACTCCCAGCAGTTTCCCCCTGACCCCACCAAAAATAAATTAAAAAAACATATCATCAGAAATATTCAAAGTGAAAAACAAAATTAATGTTCTTAGGAGCCCCACCATTAAATGTTCGTACCATCCAGTTCGTGTTATGGTTCCTGCTCCTTGGAGCTGTGTTCTTAAACTCTTTTCTATTTGCGTTGTGTGGCAAAAATACCAGATGAATCCCAAGGGAGATGGTAACTTCTGGAAATGGTGAGTGAAGGGCTTGTCTAGACAGGGCACAGAATTTACCACCCGCTTCTCCCCAGTTTCGAGACTTGTTCTCAGGTGTGATATGAGGAAGACTGTTTTCTGTATTGGCGTGCTATCATGTGACAATGCAGAAAGTTCAATGGCCCATAAAGAAACAGAAAACGACCTGGGGTTAAAAGGACAATCTTCCAGATGAGGTCACCGTCTGTCTTCCTCCTTCCAATGAAGCTGTGGCACAAACTCTGCCCCCCTCGCCCCACCACTACCTGCTTCTCTCACCTCACCTCCTCCCCCTGCCTTGTATGTGCCTGTGTTCTTCAAATCACACTACCCCTGTTTGTGCCTCTCAGTCTACATGTTATTCTTTTCAGAATCCACTAGTCTACACTTTCATCTGACCGGCACCTACTTCCTGGTCAATATTCAGCCCCAGTGTTTCCTCTGTACTTGACATATGGGGTAGGCTTGGCGGTGGTGTAGTGGTTACGAGTTGGGCTGTGATCCACATGGCTGCCAGTTCAAAACCACCAGCACCTCTGTGAGAGAAAGACGGGACTTTCTACTCCCTTAAACAGTTATTGTCTCAGAAACTCACAGGGGGTCCCCAGGAGTCGGCATTGACTCAAGGGCAGTGAGTTTTGAGGGTTTTAGTCTTTTCCTTTACTTTCACTGAAAAGTGTTGACCTTCCTGTCTGCACTCAATGGGCAGTGGTAGAAATCTTGCCTTCCGTGCAAGAGGCTTACGTTTTGATTCTGGGCAAATGTACTCCCTGCGTAGCTGCTGCCTGTCTGTAGGTGGAAGCTAACATGCTTTAGTGGGGCTCTTAATCAGTGGTTCTCAACCCCTTTGGGGGGGTCGAACGACCCTTTCACAGGAGTCGCCTAATTCATAACAGTAGCAAAATGACAGTGATGAAGTAGCAACAAAAATAATTTTATGGTTCGGGGGGGCGGGGGTCACCACAACATGAGAAACTGTCTTAAAGGGTTGCAGCCTTGGAAAGGTTGAGAACCACTGTCTGAAATGAAGATTGATCAGGAAATAAGACAACCTGACTATGTACTTCCAAAAAGTAGCCAATGAAAGCCCAGTCTTGCCATGGTTTGATTCCCAAACCCATCAAGGGGATGGTTCAACACCAGGCACTGAGCATGAAGTCAAGGTCCAGCTTGATAGCAGGTGACAGCCATCAGGCACTGACTAGCTACTTTGGGACTGCCCTCCCCCCCAATATTGTGGTCTTCCCTACAAGCACTTGAAGGGTAGGAACAAAGTCCTTTTGATGTCTGGATCTTCAAGGCATAGCACACTGAGCATGTCCATCAATGTTTGCTGCTTGCTGGAGTGGGAATCTTTTCCTTTACTTCAAAAGGAAAAGAAGAAAGGCTCTCGCCTATAAAAACGGTTAATACCCTGTCACTGATTTCCCCAGAGAGGATGGGGACACATTTGCGGGTCAGAATGTTTAGTCGCCAGGGTATGCAGCTGTTCTTGCCTTGAGATGGGAGATCAAGTGAGAGGTGATTGTCTTACTTTGAGGGTACCAACGTGTTGTGACTTCTCGCTCTCTGTATCAGGACCACAGAACCCTCCCTTGCCAGAAATTCCTGAGATTAGGGAGGGTTGACTCACAAATGTTTCCTCTTATGCAAATCTCCTAGAAATATGGATTTTAAATGGCAAGGCCCGGGGAAGTTCGGATGAGACACTAAAGTCCCTGGAGCCTGGCCTGCTCCTCACTGTGAGTTATCAGTTCTCGCCAGTTCTGTGTGGAGACTCTCTTTGAAGCACACGGTGTTCAACCCAACCGTTGAAACACACCGCTGGCCTCCCATTGATCTTTTATCGAGCCCCTTGGGCATCCGATGCGGGACTCTGTGAGGGTGTAAGGCGAAGATCTCACACTCACAGGCCATCTTAATTAAGCTTTCAAAAGAGTATACCAAGCGAGGTGTGCCCACAGCCACAGAGACCCATGGGCAGAGCTGAAAGAAGAAGTTGTCCATCACTGAACAGTCACCTTGTATCCTATTATCAGACCACATGTTCTCAAGTCCTCTGGCCCTTAGAACTTTCAATAAGTTCTGCAATAACAAAGCACCATTATTTTGAATCTCGCTCTGTGTTCATTTGTTCAGCAAGAACAGTGTTTCCAACTTGCTGACATTCCATTGTTTTGTTTTGTTTTAATATACTGGGAACTGTCTCTCAAGGCTTTCAAAGAGTCCTAGTCGGGCCTGCTAATAGAATTATTTACATAATCCACTACAATTGGCATTTCATGCGTACCATATGAAAGAAAAGCGCAATTAGCCTGTTACTTACCAAATGAAGTTTTGCCCAGAATTCAGGTCCTTCTTCCATTTCTCTGAGGCTTGGTGGAATGTACCAAAAGCAAATATTGGCATATTCAGGCTGAGGAGTAAGACAGAAAGTTATTTTGTCTACAAGGCAATTAAGATTACATTTGTCTTTCTGCTGGTTTCTTCAAGTGTTAGCATGCATGTCTCTTTGACAACAAATCAGAGTCTGACAGAACATGCATGCCTTGTTTGAGACTCCCTGCCCTTCAGCTGACAACAATCTAGTGAGGAGGAATTCCCTTCACCATTGTCGACATCTACGGGATGCTCTTCCCTCTGTTTAAGAACGGACACACAGATAGTAGAAAATAGATTGAAATTTGGAATGTACTCAAACCAGATAGGACCATCAATTAATGCTTGCTACTCATGTACCCAAGAAGCCCTGATCTCCTCCCTGCCAGCCTGAACTTGGAGAGACTGCTTCCACAACCATGAGTTTGCAATGGTTCGGTGTCAGTTCACTACCCCTGACGCAGGCAAAATCTCAGAGTGTTTGTGTGTTGACAGAAGCATGGCCTACTTGAGTTTCATTCATTGGCCATCCTATGACTCTGGTCAATATTGCTTTGCAAAATTAACAACAACAAAAAGGAAGATAGTTCTGGTTTTTAAACATCAGTAAGGCTGCTAATCAGCTCAGGTGTGCCTTCCTAGGCCTTGCCCTCAGAATGCCCGGAGTCTAATTAAGTCTATCACAGGTAAGACGCCAATCTTGGTAGTCACGAATTGACTCACGCGGACTGATTCTGAAGTGGCTAGTGCAAGGTCAATGCGGAATCTCTGTGGTCTAAATTAAGTGGCCTCAGTACAGGCATTTTCCTCAATGCTCTGTATTTCTGTCAGACACGATTTAGCCAAGTATGAAGTAACCATCTACAATAGGCATTTGACCAGCCTTTGTGACAGGACAAGGACATTTTCTCCATCACACTCGCTCCTCAGTGGACAAAACCATCCAAACGCACTCACTGCCACGAAGTCCATTCTGACTCAGAGCGACCCTAAAACACAAGCTGGAACTGCCCTGAGGGCTTTTGAGACTGCGACACTTTCCAGGGTTAGAAAGTCCCTTCCTCGTGTGAACAAAGCCTAAGGAGTCCTATAACCACAAGGCGTAGCAACCAGGTGATTTGGGTCAGTGTGCTGGGGGGTCCACACATTAAACTCACGAGTTGCAATCAGAACAGAGTGTGGATCACACCGCCTCACGCAGCACCCACTTGATTTGATGCTAAGCATGGAAGGTGTTTGAAAGGATTTTCATTTTCCACCACAAACTCACTGCGTAAGTAATAACCAGTGTTATAGTTCTCAATAGCCACCACCATTATGCGTCAGCACAAGACTAACATTTCAAAGTATTTCAGAAAGCTGTCATCTCGTATCTTAAAATCAAGGCTGGCATAAGTGGAGTTCCGATTTTACTGGATTTTAAATCACACGTGAGTGTCCAGAAACATTCTCAGCTCAACAAGATACGTTCTTGATCTGATCATCTTTTCCCCTGTGAAATTTGTAACACACTTATTGTATTTCCCAAGACAGAAATAAAACACCTGCGCATCCTCAAAATGTCAAATAGTTCACAGTAGAGGACAATATAATTCAATTCAGTTCTACAGATATCCGTCCTGAAAGCACAATACTCGTTGACAAGTCTATTCAGTATTCACGGGGACCTGGCTTGTTTGGGTTCCCCCAGGGTAGAATGGAAAGGTCTGATTGCCTAACATGTGATTCTCTGGGCTGGTAGCCTCAAGGTCAGCAGTTCAAAACCACCAGCTGCTCCTCAGGATAAAGATGAGGCTCTCTGCTCCGGTAAAAAGTTACAGTCTGAGAAACCCATGGGAGCACTTCTATCCTCGCTTAGAAGGTGGCCACGAAGCAGAATTGACTGAATGGCAGTGAGTTTGGTTTGTTTTGAGGGGGTGGGGGTGGGGGTGTTCCGGAAGGAGCCCTAGTGGCGACAGATCAGGTTTTTTCTACTCCTGTAAATAGGTACCGTAGAACCCCAGGACTCAACCCCATCAGTACTCAACATAATTGGGTTTCCACGTGAAATGTCGAGAAAACTTTGCATCAGAGCTCGAACAAAACATCGGAATCCGACCTGACGCACGCGATTTTCGTAAACAAAAGCAGTTCATGTTTCGGTCACTCGGTGCTAGTTGGCGTTGTTAGTATGTGTTGTTTAAAACTTTTGCAGCTGTGTTCCAAGCGTTTTGCTATCATTTTCTTAGTTTTTGTGGCTTTTTGTAGTTTTTAGATAAAAACAAGTCCTGAGAAAGAGTTTTTTTGAATCATCATGATAAGGAACTGGTTGTTATTGATATTATTGATGATCATTTAGTAAACCCTTTTAGAAAACAGTTAAGGAAACGCCAACAGCAGACCACATTAGATTTTTTTTTTTTTTTTAGAGAAAGCCAGCCAGGTCCTGGTGAAAAAAGACAAAGAAGGGGAAAAACTCCTGAAAAGCAGCTACCATATTGATTTGATGGAAGGAGATTCTCCTTCTGAACAATGCCTCTCTCCATGCCTCCTCTCCACATCCGTGTCCACAGCTCCAGAGCCTCATCAATCCAAGGTATGGGACATACTGCAGTTGTTAAACACTTTTTTAATGCAGTGTTTCTGATTTAAATTATATTATTGCACTCTGAACTTGATTACTTTGAAATTTCTGTGTAATGTTTTGTATAGAAAGGCAAGGTTAAGGTAAAAACTTGGTGGCCGAGAACGGATCAATCCGTTTTCAGTTCTTTCTCATGGGAAACGATGATGCTCCTTCTGGTACGGATTAGCGGTTGAGGTCCGGGGTTCCACTGAACAGCCTCAGAAAGCCACCGGGGGCAATTCTACTTTGTCCTCTGGATGGCTCTGAGCCAAAATGAGCTGGCTGTGGATGTGCACAGGTTGGTTTGAGATTAGAGCGAGGAGCTATGGTCAGGCAGTGGTTACAGCATTGACTGCAAATTTCAAGGTTGCCAATCTAAAAACCACCAGTAATTTCCCTTGGGAGAGGTGTGGCCATTGGCCTGAGGGTGGGGAGGGGGGCAATGCTGCTCTGCCCTGAGGGGTCACCAACAGTCAGAATGGAGTCAGCATTGAGCTTTCAGCTTTCGTTTGTTTGTTTGTTTGTTTGTTTGTTTGTTTGAGGATACTAATGTACTGGCCTTTAATACCCTTTGATACTTTCATGTAAATAAATCGTCTACAATAATGTAACTGATTGATTAGGAAGTAGAAGAAAAAGATACTACTCATTTGTCCCCAGATTCCAAGAATCGGTGTCTTTACATTAAACTTTTTCCCTGACACTAGGTCATTTATCAGTTTATAATCTCTCAGTTGCACCCCCACCTTTTTGTGGAACCAGTTGGTCTCTAACTGGCTCTCAGGGCCAGTTGGTCTAATGGTGGACTTGGTCAGCAGAGGGCGCTGGAGGAACACTGGAGGAGGAAGGTGGGGCATCCATCTCTCCCAGGTTCTGGTGTACTCCCCTTCTGGGTCTCCTCCTTTGAGGCAGTGGGTGCCAGGAACAAGTGGTCTCCCCAGCAGTTTCTGCCAGTACTCCTCTCTCCGGTGGCCTCGCGGCAGCAGCGGATCAGCAGGTGACGTGCCAGGCCTCAGAAGGCTTCCTGAGGGAATCCTGCCACATAGGGACACTTTCCTAACATCCTCATCAGGGTTAGCTTGCAGTGAGTCCTTTGCATGACATTTCCCTGTGGACGCGACATCCGTCACTTGGATTTCCAGCAAGTTCCACCAGTGCATCACCTCAGGGAACATCTAGACCGTGCAGTGATACACAGTCCCACTTTCTCCAAAGAGGTTCTCGGCTGTTCTGGGCTGCGGTGTTCTCTTGCTCTGGTGCTCCATCCAGTGGTAGGGTGATAGCTGCCCTCTGAACCTGTGACCCTTGTATTGGGATTTCTTTCCCTATTAAAAGGCAATCCTATCTTTCTGCCGCCTCCTTGAATGTTGCTCTGTTTCCCCACATCAAATGACTGGGGGGCTTTTGCCACCTGCTTGGAGCTGGATAGATCTATTGAGCTAGATCTGTCTATTTATCCAGTCAATTTGATGTCAACATTTGGAGCTATTTTGCAAGAGCGTTACCTGACCTTAGATGCTGCATAGTTTCAAAGCGAAGACCTAGGGCTTTGGGATAACTTTAAATTTTTACTTCCTTTAGGAAGTTTCTTTTTAGAAATTTTAGAAGTGATATATCTGTGATCCAACCCCCCTCCCCCCCAAATCCTCTTGTAGCATGACGTGTCTTCCGTATGATGCCATTTGAAAACCCGTGAAGCTTCTCTACCACTCTGTCACATTGGGAGAAAGTGGCTGGTGCTCCTGGTGGATGCCTTCACTCTGGTCATTTGTAAAATTACAGCCAGGGATGAAAACACATCCTTTTGAATGTTCACCAAGAACACATTCAAGTTTCCCCGTCTCTGCCTCTATGGGTGGCATTTTATATAGTGCCTTTCTTCAAGAGGTATCACCTCACTGAGGCATTACAGAAAAGAACAATTCACATTGCCACTGATCGTACTTTTAGTCCTCTACGTATAGGAGAGCTGTCCTGGCATCTTACTGTCCTAACACATGCAGTCTCTGTTCCCTAAACACCAGTCCTATTGGGAAGCTATAAAAAAGAATCCAAATGTCTAGACAAGACATGTGATAGTTAAGGATACAAAACAAACCACAGCATTAAGAGCACTGTCATAATATTTAAGAATTCACGGGTAAGCAGTGAAGTACCATTAAGAAAAGCTGCCTATAGTCGCTCCTGGGTTTCAAGTAGAAAAATAAAACGCAGACATATTCCGAGAATTAAAGCAGGGGATTTGATTTCAATTCTAAGAAGGATTATCAAGCAAATGATAAGAGATCACTTGGGAAAGAAGCCAGTCAACCTCATAAGGAAGTAGCTGGCATTCTCTAAAACAGAGTCATGATAGAAGAAATTGATCTGTTTATAGTGTCATCAGATCCAAAGGATAGTCATTTTAAATGGTCGTGTTATGTATTTTTTAA